CTAGAAGATACCTTTCAAAGGTACCTCATAGAGAAGATACCTTTTAAAGGTATCTCACTCTTATGGTTTATAGTTTCTTCAGTGAGAGAGACTTATGTCATGTGGATGAAACAAAATACACTTGACTTATACTATGCAAAAATCATACACAGCCTTCAATTTAAAGTTTCTGCTAAAAATATTTTCAATATTTTTAGGAAAACAGCAAACTTAGAGGTAAATAACACCAATAACAATTATAGAACAGCATAATTTCCAGAAACACCTCTTGGAGATAGTGCCTGCATAGTGTATAAAAGGAAAAAAAATAACAGTACTGAGCAAGTGATCAGATACTCACATCTCCTAGATCTACAATACTTTTCTGTAAAACTCTCTTTAGAGGCAGAGTTTTTGTCATATTAATGTGGAGATAAGAGGTCTGTGATTAAATAATTCAAAATTTGTTTCTTCAGAAAAATCTCTATAGATAGAAGATCAGTCTATAACTGAAGCAAAGTAGAGAAAAGACTCGGCTTAGTCCCATCTTCGATTGAACTCCACAGTACTGTATATAAAACTCTTCAAAATTTATCTACACATGGTACAAATATGAATCACAAAAGGGATAGAAGGCTGCAAACAGCTTTCAATAAAAACCAATCTCTAAAAAGTCTGTGGACCAAAGAAGTTGGATTTTCTGCATTACTGTTTGTTATAAAATTTTGTAGTCTATGGTTTTTATGAAAAGCGCAATATTCTATCCCTCAATCGCTACATTCTACAATATGTGTGGTCGATTAAAAAGAGGAACAGAAAAAGAGCATCTCAGGTCTCCTTGAAAATCATGAAAACATTTAACAACCTGCAAAACAAGTTTATGCTGCCTACACCTCAAGAACCTAAAATAAAATTAAGGGTAATACTGAGGTGAAAGCCATGCTCAATTAAAGTTCCTTTTTGTTTAAAAAGTTATGAGTAAAAAATAAATAAGAATTTACAATGTTCTTAAAATGATTTGAGCAAAAAAATTGAGTTACAAGTATTGCATAATCTTACATGTTCACATTCCCACGGCTTATGCATGTAATAGACATAAACAGACAGGGTCTATCACACTATTTAGAGGGAAAAAAAAATTAAATTTATAGAGAAGTAATGTACACGTGCCCCTTCAGCATAAATCAGTATCCAATAAATACTTATCAGAGGTCTGCCACTTGGAAAAAGCAACAATAAGGATACTAAAAGTTTCACACATAGTACAGATGTAACATTCAAGGTGATGGCACAGGCCTGTCCAGGATAACAAAATGTGATGCTATTATTTTCTTTATCATCATTAATGGTTGCACCCTTAGAAACCAAATTGGAACCAATTAGAACTATGAGCGGCCATGGTTTGCTGCCATTACTTCCATGTCATCTCTACACCTTGGAATATATAGAGTCACACATGTGTGTTCCCAAATATCCTGTGGATATTTATCGCCAGTGCTCCACGTATGGGTATCCAAATCATACGATTCTATCACAGCTGGAAAATAAAATAATAACATTTATTTAAATCAATAGAAAAATGCATGTGGTCAAGTAATGTTTGATGTTGATTTCATTACCTGTAGCTCTGTCAAACATTGCATCACTTAGGAAACCACCAATGAAATAAATTTTTGAGTCCACTCCCACAATACCAGCATGGTACCGAGGTGTTGGGACATTTGTAATTGTTTCCCATGTGTCATTCATAACATCATAAGCATCTATATTGTCAGCCAGGACCCTACAAATAGACAAAGCGTAAGAAAGTGTTCCAGACCTCACAAAAATCACACGAGTGAAGTGATTGTGATCTGAACATACCTGTTTCCTGTTTCAACATCTTCATACCAACCACCACAAACATATAGACGATCACCTATACTCAACATGACATGATCAGCTCGAGGGGTCAGCATGGGAGCCCTTGATATCCAGGTATCAGAGGAGGCATCATAGCGACGCATTGATGTAAGAACAAGGTCACGATCAAGTCCACCAGATACAAATAGCCAATGCAGGTTATCAGACGGTCTAGTCCATGAAACTCCTGCATGCTGGGTTCGGAAGCCAGGCAGAGGTTCAACACTTTCCCAGCTGTCTGTCTCAGGATCGTAACATTCACAAGCACTAACCTGTAATATTTCAAGAGGTTAAGCATAACGATGAAGAAAGATAAATATTAATGATGTGGAGGTTAGAAATCAAGAATTAAAATGGATATGACAGAAAAGTATTACCTCATCATCTGCAATTTCATCCTCCATTTCACTAGCTCCTCCAATAGCATAAAGACGTCCTAATACAACATTAAGAGAAAAACGACATCTTTCACGCTGCATAGGAGATATGGTTGTCCATTTATTTGAACGTGGGCTATAACGGAAACCAAAAGGATGGATGTTTTCCTGAAATAGATAAGAAAAATTTCAAAATTTGTTACTTGGTGTGGGACTAGCTACTGTCAATGTGTTACATTGAGACTAGTAAGAACTTCCAATAAAGAATTATGGTACATCTGAAAAGAAGAATAATGTAGGGAATAACTCAACAGAAACCATTATGCTTTGACATGGTGACTTCTGTTTACTTGTTCCCCGCATTCTTCTAAATTTCAGCTTGGAATGGTTTATTCTTACCTGCAGGGATTGGTTAAAACATCCTCCAACCACATACAACTCATTATCCAGAACAGCAGTTCCAAAATTACATTGTTCAACATGGGGTATTGTTGTGAGGTGCTTCCATTTTCCAGCACTTGGCAGAAAATATGTAATTTCATTGGTTATACCAGCTAAACCAAAACCACCCACCTAGAACATGTTGAAAAATAATTAGATTAGTAACATAAAGAAAGTGAAATAAGATATAACACAATTACAGAAAGACAAAGAAACAGACTTTTACGACAGCCAGCTCCATTCCTCTTGAGTTCACTAGATTGCAAGAGCCCGCAGGGGTAGACGCGGAAGAAACTCCAGAGGTGAGGGAACCTAGGCTTGAAGTTGCAAGGGAGGAAGAACGAATACGGCCCTGCCTGCATGCTTCAGCCACCACGAGGCGACAGAGTTGTTGGTCCACTGGACTATGTTTCATCTTCCCAAGTAGACTTTCAACTTCCCATGCAGATATCTCTGAAAAATGAACTCTTCGGAGAAGCCTCTGGGCACAATTGACCCTTTGAGTATGACTGCAACAAAAGAGTAACAAAATCCTTAGTTATTTCAGTCAATAACAAAAGAATGTACTAAGTAATAACAATCGGACTCTTTCACAGACCTTAAGTTCTCCACTCCTTGAAGCCATCGCAACACTATACGAAGGACATCAATTTCTGGACAATCCACAGGGAAATCACAGCTCAGAAGATGTTCCAATTGCTGTAAGGCTAGCCTATGAAAATCAGGTGATTGTGAAAATTCACAAAGGTGAGCAGACATAAATCGGTACACACGCCTTCTAAGTTGACTAAGAGAGTAGGTTTCAGCAATAGTAACAATGTCCACACAGTTTTCCAAATCAAGTTGAGCCTGTAAAATGAAAAATAACATAAAACATTATGATATAACATTTGAATATTACTTGAATTCTCTTGAAAAGATGTCAGAAAATAACAAACCTGTAAATAATTGGAACAGGCCTCAACAACAGCCACAACTTGAATGTGACTCGCTGCTGAGAGAACATCTTGAATGTTGGCAAGGTTCAAGGCTAGCCTGGAGGTATAAGCATAATCCAAAAGGAGCCGTATGCCAGCAGCACTAACCCCATTCAGACATATTTTGCTCTGCCTTGATTCTCTCATTGCGTCCGTAAACATTGCTCGAAAGTAATCACTGCAAGATGCCAGCACAACACGATGAGCCTGTAACAAAAAACATACACTTACAAGAATGATCACATACAACATATTCATGAATTTGTAATCTATTGGAAGTGTCTACAATGACAGGCCAGACCAGCAGGTAAATGAAAGGTACTTTAACTGTTTCCTCACAAAGGTGGCTATGGACAATTCAAAAGTGGGTCACTCCTGAGGGGCTGTCCTGCCAGGACCAAAAGTAGGCCAGTGCTAACCTCTGTTCACAGGCAAACCTCACCTGGAAAGCTTCGCCGTCCGCGACCAGGGTTACGTCGAGGAGGAAGCCTTTAGCCCGGAGAGTGTTCAGGCCGCTGAGCAGAGTGCCCGTGTGCGAAGGGCTTTCAAAATTGACCGTGTTCAGCGGCCGGTCCTGAAGGCCCCACTCCCGCACCCTCGTCATCTTTGCGCAGAGTCCTGGCCCCGAAAATTATAAATCCTTCAGGACATGGGCGAGCCGATCTCGGGGGAGTTCTTCCGAGGCACGAGCGACGAGCCGTAAACCACGACAAGGGCGGCACGGCTGGCAAAACTCAGAAAAGAGTCAAGTTGTTGACAGAATGACGTCCTGTTGTTGTTGCCTTGTCTGTTGGTCGGGCGCCATCTTCCTTGCGAGCGTCTGCTGTCCAAACCAAACAACAGCCTTGTGTAGCACTGTTGACGACCTCTGCAGAGCGCCCGTGGAAGAAGAAGGAAAGGAACAAGTTGTAGAGCGGGAATCGATCGGTTGGATGATCGGACGCGCGCCGATCACCCTGGTCACACAAAATGCGAGGGAGCCAGCGAAACTTGATCAATCTCGCGATAGAGGACTGGTCTAGTACGGAGATATATTCCTAGTAGCTTATTGTATGTAAGACACTGCAATTTAGTTTGCTGGATTATCTCAAGAGAAAAATTTCGATTTCAGATGGCTTTACCCACGTAAACAAGTATCTCGCCTACCTTCCCCAGAGCACTCGCACGCTTCGGGTCTCTTGCTGCCACCTGCTCTGCCTGCTCGCCTCAAACACCGTGGGGATACTGTTCGGCAATCTTCCCCCTCCCCCTTTCCGCCCGCCCCCTCCACGCTTTTGCACGCAACGCAAGCTGTGTAGTCTGCGTAGTACCCAAAGCAGTGGCAGCAACCCGTGTACTCTGTGAAAAAAAAACTTGCAAGGTAAAAACCAGTAAGCATATGTTTTGAACCAAAGTTTTCGTCATGGTACTCACTCCGTCGCTCATGAACCCACCTTTCCCCTCCTCCGCACACCCGACATTCTTTCTGTTTTTGGCTCAATATCGTGATTTGATTTGTAGGTAGGTCAGGTCCGGGTCTAGGTCGGTACCAATGGATACGGAATTAGGGTAAACTTCGTTTGTTCTGATGTAGCAAAAGGAGTCAACACAAACTACAGGGGAAATTGAATTAAAAGCTGTTTGGAATATTCACTGTTTGGATGTACCGACCAGGACCATATGCTCCTCCTGAGCGGTTAAGGCCCTTTCTGCTGTCTTGACTTGACCAGGGCGAACAGAGGCCAGCGCGACGGCACTGAACCGCGTAGAGCGCCAGAGCGAGAAAAATGTGCAAGAGCAGAGCACTACGGTCCGACGCCTGGAAACGAAAGTGCGGGCGGGCTGGGGAGGCTCGGGGAGAGCCTGGGGTTGGGGGAGC